TATATATATATTATTTTATTTGTAATTTTTCCATAAAAAAAGAACTTGTCCAAATCAAATTGAAAAGTAAACGGTAGCGCGCGTCAACGGACATGTTGTGTTTTTTTTGTTTTTTTTTTGTTTTTTTTTCTTTTTGATTGATTTTATCATTCAATTAATTTATTTATTTTTTTTAACGTTTTGTTCTTTTTTTTGTTTTATTATTCGAGACCCGAACGAGTCGTCAAGAGTAATGAACTATTCAATGTAGAAAGAAAGAGAAAGAAAAAGAGAGAGAGAGAGAGAGAGTGAGAGTGAAAGTGAACGAAAGAGAGAATATTCGGATATTTAAATATACTTAACTTATATTAGCCGATGTGTGATAGATGAAGAAAGAAAGTATAATAAAGTTGCATGGAGCGAGTGTGAGATATATCGCGAATGAATACGATTATTATTATTATTATTATTATTAATTATTATTATTATTAATTAAAGAGAGAATATCATATACGACACATTATTATTGATACGGCTGTAAGTCCACGTTAACGCGTGTTGTAACATTTATAATGTGACCATCGGTCATCATCGTCATCATCATCATCATCATCATCAGCATCATCATCAGCATCATTTTCATCTTCATCGTCATACACGCATCAGTATAGAGATTTATAATTATTGTAATAATAATTAATACTATTATTATTATTTTTGTATTATCATCATCATTACTATTATTATTATTATTATTAATAATATTATTATTATCATCATTGATACTGCTATAATCATCGATCACCATCACCATTACCATCACTATCACTACCACACATTGTCATCCTTATTATTATTATTATTAATTAATTAATTAATTATTGAAATAATATAAATGATTATAAATGCTCGAGAACACAGCCACGTAGGCGTATACATTCATAAACACGTCTAATGGTAAAGATAACGTTTAATATTATCGGCATAACATTATTACAGATAAATATATTGAAAAAAAAGAAAAAAGTAAAAAAAGAAGTATAAGTTTAATGTATATACATTCATATGTGTGTGTGCATAATGCGTGATGGTATATAATACGTGCGTACACGTGTTCTATACGCGTGTGTATGTGTGTGTACGCACACACATACGTGCACTTGCATAAGCATCTATAGATAAAAAGAGAAAAAAAAACCAGACAAAAAAAAGTACATGTATATACGTATATGTAATTTTAAACACACGCGCAAGATTAGAATCGATTAATAATTAATTGAATGCGATAGGTAACAAAATAATCAGAGATCGTATATTTAATAATATTCATTTCTTATTTTTTACGTTATCATTAACGCAGCCAAGTTGTTACTTCGCATGCTGGACGAAGTAGCGAAGAGTAAAAATGAAAAAAAAAAATAAAAAAGACAAGAAGAAGATAAAGAGGTAAATTAAAAATAAAACAAAATGGTGGGCGGAAAAATCGATCGCGTGCGCCAAAGATCGTTTAAATTTAAATCGAAATATTGGAAGAAGGAGGAGGTGGTAGGTTGAAAAGTTTCGAGCCTAACGTTAGAAACAAATTTTCTTCCTTCAACCATACTCACTTTTATTCTTAATAAAAAATGAGTTTCTTTTTTTCTTTTTCTTTTTTTTCTTTGACGAGGCTCTTTCTTTTTAACTCACCTTTGTATATGTAATTATAATGTGCATGCGTGAGTGCGTGCGTGCACAGGTGATTATGATGTAACGTTCTAAGTTATACAATTTGAATAATTTTATGATATATTTTTTTGTTTTCTAATTACAATCATTTGTGTTATAAAATAAGGTGTGATAAAAAAATTTTATCTACTTTATTAATAGTAAATTTACTGGTCATAATTACCGACACATTTACGTACCGCACACATATATATATATATATATATATATATATTCGAGATCCATAATATACTATCTCATTTTACCAAAATTTTCTAATATTTCAACCAAAAATACAAAACAAATAAGTCTAATACAATTGCGAATGCGTGTTTTAATGTAAGAAGAGTTAAAAACGGACGGTGGTGTGTGTTATGCTTTGTCGTATTTCCGAGAAAAGAAAAATCCTCAATCGATTCTGAAAAATACGAAGGATAGAGAAGAGTTTAAGTTTAAACAAAAAAAAAAAAAAACAGGGAAAAACGGCCTAGAAAAGTTTTTAGGTGAAATCAAACGCGTTTGAGACGCGTTGAATTTCGAAAAAAAGAAACGAAAACAAGTGCCGTAACGTGGTTTTTATTTTCACGATTTAAAAGGATCTTCGAATAATGTACAATGACAGGATAACAAGAGGAAGGAATAAGGAAGAAAACAACAACAGGGGTGGGGGTAACGGATGATCCAAGTTGCACAATAGACTCTGCTTCATTGATTCCATCAAAATGAATTAACAAAGAAAATCCGCCCTCCCCCTCCTCCTAGCACTGATAACAACCCTTTTGGAACGAAAACACTGTTTCTCCATTTCTACGATTAAAATCAGCGGATAAATTTTGAAAATAACAATTTTATTGGTGAAGGGGATGATTTTCGATGGTTAAAATAAAAAAAAAAAAGAAAGAAACGATGATGCTCGAATAAATTTGAATTCGGCGGGTTCGATGAAACACTTAGGAGCCTCGTTTAATTTGTGCTTTTTTTATTTTTTCTATTGTTAATAAAAATAATACAAAATATTAATTACTCTCTTACTTTTTTTTGGACAATTTTGTCGAAGTTCCAAACATTTGCGCTGTTAAGATGATGACTACTTTTACTTACGTACACGAAGAGACAAATCACGAGGATGCTTAAAACCTTTCGGGGGAAAAGAAAGAAAAATAAGAAAACAAAAGGTAATTTGACGTAATTTATGTTTGAGTCTATGTGTGTATATGTGTGTGCGCGTGTGAGAGAGAGAGAAAGAATGCGTGTATACGATAAAATAACAATAAAAGAAAATCCTCTTTCGATAATTAATTACAAATAAATATGCAAATGTGTGGTTTTCCTTTTCTTATTTTTTTATCTCTCACATCTTCTTCTCCCCATAATAAAATAATCAAATAAAAATATAAAACGAAATCACAACGTTGAAATGCGTTAACGTTACCTTCGGATGCGTCCAAATTTTTTGCGAGATTTTTTATTAAATTCCAGGAGGAGGGGGGGGGGATGTTCTGGCTGTGCATGAATATTTTTTTCATCGCTAATCAATGCTATTATAAAAATATAATATATATATATGAAATTCTCTTGAAAAACTTCGAGATTGAACTAAGAAAATTGACGGTTTCCTTTGACGGAAGTTTGTGGCATTTTATTTTCGAGGATATCCTTCTTTGAACAACCACCATTTCCTTCAACCAGCCGAGCCACGTAATCAAATTTAGGGTAAACACACTTTTACTTTCTTTACATATATTTATATTTACTTCAATTGATCTATCCAAAAAAAAAAATTCAATTTTGTTTCTTTCACATTAGTAAAAGTTAAATAACGAAAGAGTAATAATATGTTTTACTATACTCGAAAAGAAAGAAGAATATTAAGATGTAGAAAGTTATTATTCGTAAATGCGAGAGAAAGGGGAGCCGCTTTCTTTGACGCGGTAACAAAATTTTTTATATGAAAAGGAAAGAAAAGAAAAAACAAAATAGGAAAAAATTGTTGAAAAAAAAAAACTCGCACCTGGACAGAATAATAAAATTATTTGCATTTTAAGATTTTAATAATAAACAATAAGATCTATATACTCTATTTCGGTATTTCGTTCGCGTATACGTAAGTATAAAATTTCAGCTAATTGAAGAAATATAAGAACGTGGATCATCGTGTCCCCCATTGGTTGTAGCTGTTGGTCTTCATCGTCATCGTCATCCATTTCAACTTTTTCTTCAATTATTTCGGAAGATTTCTAACACTCCATTACGTATCGTATCATGCACACATATGCATGCATTTATATAGGAATATGATTTAAATATTAAAATACAAAACGCAGCAAACGACTACCTCATGTTTCTTCGAGTCCATCAGAGGAGTCCTTAAGGTACCCCATAAATCGTTCGCGACCTCGATTTGAACGACTTTGAAAATAAAAAAAAAAATAAAGAAGCATTATTACCTCTTCGAACATATCTATATGGTGTTGCGACAGAAAATTAAATAAAAAAAAATAAAATAAAATAAGGTTTGTGAATCCTCAAAAAATATTGAGCAACTTGGAGACTGCGATGCTGCCACAAAAGTCTGCTTACAGTCTTTTTCTTTTTCCCCTCATTTCTTCTGCGCCATTTTGTCATAATTTCGTGCAATATATGTGTACCACAAATATATATATATATATATATATATATACAACATATACATACGCATTGGGATACGTTTTTGTTGGCTTTTATTACAATTATTATTTCAATGTTTTATTCCTTCTTTTGTTATCAATAAAAATCGTTACATAGTAGTTTGGGCCGCTGCTTGGCGTCAGACGAATCGGACAAGCAACCAATTATAGTAATAGTAGTAGCGGTAGTAGTAGTAATAGTAGTAATAATTCAGTAGCAGTATTCTCGTGTACGGATGCGTTTTGTTTTGCGTGAATGTGCGTATACGAATATCTACGTATGTGTACGTATCCATCTCCATCTTCGAATTCGTTTGTCTCTGTTGTGTGTGTGTGTGTTATATATATATATATGTGTTTGCTGCACTTCGAGGACGCATATCTCTTTCAAAACTTTTGGATGAAGAAAAAGAAAAAAAGGTAAACGTCGGGAATGTATCAACGTATCTCTCTTTTTCGTCTCCACCTCTCTCTCTCTCTGTTTCTGTTTCTTTTCTTTTCTTTTTTTTTTTTTTTCAACGTCCTGCATTCGTAACGCGTTGGCCTCGAAAATACCTTTTATCACCGGATCTTCCTACGGACGAAGAAAGTCATGAGAAACGAGAGACAAAACGAAAAAATAAACGAATTGAACGAACGAACAACACAACCTTGTCGTCGTCGACCGTTGTTGTTCTTAAAGGAACACAGCGCACAATTTTATTGCCTTTCAAAATTCAATGATATATATACTTATCCTGATGTTTGATTTAAATGGGGCCGATCGTCGAATGGATTATGATGAACAACAAGAAAATTTAATTCCCCCTTTTCGTCATTGAGAAAGTAATATATATAAACTTTCAACGCGAAATGAACGCAACGTGAACAATTTTGTTCAACTGGTTGATGATTACTGGGGGTGTACAACACTCTCCCCGACGAGTATATTATACCACACGACGATATTTGTTTAATATAACAACGATCGATCCATACTATTCTTCTTTCTTCGTGTTAGTTTTTTTTTTCTTTTTTTATCTTTTTTTTTAACAAGTCGTATTTTACTTCTCACCCAATCAAATAAAGTGAATTTCGATAATAAGAGATAATGTGCCAACGGCGAAAATTCTTAGATTTCTTCTCCGCCATATTGGGAAAAGGAATAACGAAAATGAGACACGAGTTCTATTCTCGAACGTGAATACTTGTTCCAAACCGTTTACCCTTCTTTTCGGTACTTTGTCTGATGCATCACACGCGTGATGTTTCTAATACGTTTGCGTCGCCCTTTGCTCAAGAGTACGTACATCACGAATTTTGTGTATGTAATGTATGTGTGTGTGTGTTGCATATGTGTGTGTGTCTATGTTAGTGTCTAAATGTTAGCTTACGACTCTCACCCCATAATATAATATCACGCCCTTCTTTCTCTTTGTATTTCGTATTCTTTTCTTTTCTTTTTTTTTTTCCCTTAATCTTCACACGAACATTGTTAAAAATCCCCTCTTCTATTATGACACATCCTTCGTCGTTTTATTTCTCTTACACGTAGCAATAATAAAGACAGTAAATAGCTAAAAGGACCGTATCGATTCTTGGGGGACGCGGCCAAGATTGCGGCCAATCAATCAGTGCCGTCTCACTCGCTGCCGCATGCATGCTCGCCCGCAATTTTATCATTATCATTACCATTATCATCATCATCATCATCATCATCATCATCATCATCATCATCATTATTATTATTATCATAGTTATCGTCGTTTTATCGTTAACCATCATTATTATATTCTCCTTTTCACAATCGTTATTGACCAGCAAAAAGAAAATAAAACAATCATCATCTCATCATAATAATAATAATAATAATAATAATAATAATAATAATAATAATAATAATAATAATAATAATAATAATCATCATCATCGTCGTCCATCTCGAACTACCATACGCTCTCGCGATCCTCGGTTTTTATTATATCATCATCATTGTCATCTATTTTATTTTTTTGTAGGTAATCTTTGCGATTTCCTTCCCCGCAAAAATGTATACACACACATACACATACACACACGCATACACACAAGCGTTCTTTCAGTTCGCTTTTTTTGTATTTTCTTTTCCCCCCCAATCTCTCTCATTTCCATTCAGTCATTCTTGCTACCCCCTTGCCCTCAAACATTCGTTCAAACTTTCTCCCCTTCTCTCTAGCACTCACCCATCCCCTTTCACTCCCTCTCTTTCGTGCTCGTTCTCTTTTTTCCAGCTTTATTCTCAAAATCTTTTTCTATCCATACGAATATATTTTTATCGTTCTCCCCCTTTCAATTTTCTCTCATTCGTTCGCACCCTCCCACATACACACTCGCACTCACCCACCATTTTACTTTCTCACTTTCTCACCTTTACGGATCCTACGAAAGAAAAGGACTGTAAGCCTAATACAATAGTTTATTATTATTTATTATCATTACTTCTTATACTTAAATTTATGCGCGTTCATCATATTCGTTCCTCCATCAGCGAAGCGCCGCGCACAAAAGCGATTAGAAAGGATAAGGATTTATCTTCCTTCCGTTCTCGTTTTTATGTTTCTGCCATCATCATCATCATCATCATCCGTCTTCTGTTTATTGTATGTCTGTTTGTTTGTTTGTCCTATTGTCCGGTTCGTCGATACGTTAATTTTTAAGTCCGTTCGATCATTTTAAATTCTTCCACCCACGCATAATACAAAAGAACTTATTTATATATTATACCGTGTCCGAAAACTCGATTTATAGTCTCCAGGCTAACAACCGCCATTTTTATTTTTTTCTTGTCTCCGCCATCTTTTTCTCTCTGCCGCCACCTCGCCGCCATTGTTGTTTCTTTGTTTTGTTTTTTCGATCGAAATTATTACTCGCTCTCAAAAGTCGCGTTAATTCGTTACAAAAAAAAAAAAAAAATACATCCTCGCTCGTTTTCTTCGATCGGTGACGATAAAGTTTTTCCTTCTTTTGTTTTTAATATATCCGTTGATTGTGGTTGTTCTTGTTATAATCAGATAACAACAACTTTTCTATCAAGAAAAAGCTAGTGAAGGATGCGCGTTGTATTTAAAAAAGAAATTATCAACGTGAGAAATGAGGATGTTTTATATAAATGCTGCAGAGAGAAAAATGGACAGGAGGAATGAGAGAAAGGGATCGTAAAGATTTGTGTATGTGATCTTGTCGCATTTAATGTAAGATAAAGAAAAATAATCAATCGTACGTGTGTGGCTCGTGACGAAAGCAAATTTGAATCTCGTTTACCTCCTCTTTTCTTCCTTTCTTCCTCTAATCATGTTTTACAGAAACAAGTCGATAATCGTCGACATTTCCGAAAAAGCACGAGATTCTCCACCCGCGGACGACGAATAAAAATATACTTTCCAAAGATATATTATATATATATATATTCCTGAAAAATGTTTTCTTTTTTTTTTTCTTTCTTTCTTTTTATATAGGAACACAAATAAGACAAAAATCAAATCTTAATAATGACTGGAATATTTACGGATGATGCGTCTCGTGCCTTACACGCATACACACACATACACGCACGCACGCACATACACAATTTGATTGATCACATCATACCACCACCACCACCACCATCACCACTGTCACAATCGTGACGACGACCACCATCACACCACATTGCTGTCATAATCATTATACCATTACCATTACCATTAAGAGAGTTCTTTTCGATCACGAGCCCGACGACATGTAACAATATTTCATAGGACAGAAGCGCTGTTATGTGTGTAGAGCACGATATTATTATTATAATCGAAGTCCCCCGTCGTTTCGTATGTTAAAACGAAAATTATTCAATGCGCTTTTTTTTTTCTTCCCCCTTCCGAAAACCCGTCGTGGTCTGGCTGCTCTGCATTTTCGAATATTTCGCGCGCGCATGCACAATGTATACACATATCAAGCTTATATATCATCACTTTTATATAATCTTTATTTTCTTAAACGTATATACGCGCGTGCTCTCTCTCACTCTCTCTCTTTTTTTTCTATCTCTCTCTCACGCACCCTTGTATACATTCAAAAGTGTATCTCTTATTCTCTTCCTCTCCCTTTCGTACGAATGTAAATAAGCGTGTGCGTGTGTGTATGTGTAGAATAAAAGACTATCGTATTACAATCGTTCTTTGTGTGTGTGTGTGTGTGTGTGTGTGCATATCTACAAAATTATTTTCTTTTTATTAACCGTAAACAACACGCTCTTATCGAGTATTGGCACGTGTATTATTATTATTTTTTTTTTTAAACTTCTGTTTTATACTTTTTATCGATGAGCATTCCATTCGTCGACCAATTCGTATGTATGTATGTGTGTGTGTGTGTGTGGGGGGATGATTATTAATTATAAGTATAACGATATATTGCATATTATTTTTCATTATGATGTGTTATCAATCGTACGTGTGTGTTGTACGCGTTTAGTAGGAGAAAGTCTTTTCTGTGTCTCTAACTATCTATCTATAAATCTATCTATTCGTCAAAGTTCGTCACAGTTCGTCACAAGTTCGTCTTATTTCGTCGTTTCATTTGTCCCGTCAGTCAATTTATGATTCGTCTATCTCTGTCCGTTGTTCCGGTCTGGTCCGGTCCATCTGTCTAAGCCACGATTACGGCTTGTTTATTACTGTGTGTCGTTGGTATATGCAATTGTGTATCTTCAATGATGCTTGCGAGTACGCATACCGTCTTAAAGGGGTGGGTGGGGGGTAATAAGTCATGATTAGTGGCGTAGGTCGGTTAAATGGACGCGCGCGCCTTTTCCTTTCTCGATGTCAAGTTAAGTCGAAGTGGAGAGAACGATGACTGCAGTATGGTAGTAATAGTTGTTGTTGAAATTGTTGTTTTTGTTGTAATAGTAGTTGTAGTTGTTGCTGTTGTTGTTGCTGCTGCTTCTTCGTCGTCGTGCATCGTGCGGCAGGCTTGCGGCAGTTGCGGCGCGGCTCGTGCGGCATGGCGCATTCCATTCGCTGTTCATTTAAAATAATCGACTGAATTCGTTTGTTATTAATAATTAGATATTTTATGTTGGGTCCCAGAGGTTACTGAAACAGAAAAATTAACGAATACGTTCATCTCACACCCACTAAAAACTACGATGATTTTTCTTCTCCCAACTACGATTATTTTCTTTTTTTTTTTTTTGTTTGATTGGATATATATATATAAATGGGGTTGGAAGAGGGGGTGGTGGTATTTTGATTTTCTCACAACGATCAAATAACGTTGGAAAAATAAAGATTATTTTTTTGGTATGATAAATATATTCAAATCGATGTTAATTTAAATGCTCGTTGTTACTAACCACCACCACCACCAACCAGCGGGATTAAAATTGAATATTGATGAATTTATTTGAAATATTTAAATGTGATGACGACGATTTCTTAATTAATTATTTTTAATATACGCGTGTTTACACTACAATCGAAGGAAGTCAGTTAATAATATCAAGTCACGAAGAAATCTCCCCCACCATATTGGAAAAATTCTTTAAAGGTGGATACCAATACTTCGTTCATCGTCGAAATTCTTGACTTTGAATAATAGCGAGGTGTAATCTCAACAGCAATGTCTAATGAATTTCTTTTTCAATACATACTATACAACAATACGAACCAGATCTAAATATAATGATTACTTTCTTTCGTTTACAATTTAATTAGAGTTTCATCCAGGTGATATACTCAACATTCCTAATATAGAGTGTCAGAAATAATAAGATAACTTACGGACAGAAAAAAATGTTTCAATATCTATACTTCATATGTTAAATTTATTGAGCAACAAATAAACATATCTCACAATAATGATAAGATTATCATAACAAAATTGAAAAATAATTAATGGACGTAATGATTGAAATTTGGGTCAAAAATTATCTTCTAATTAAGTTTCTTAAATAATCCGAAAATTCAATTGCGATTGTAATTGCAACATTTTCCGCGAAGGACGAACCTTAAAAACTTTGACGAGTATTTTAGGATACATTGAAGAAAAAAATAAACCTTCCATTCTACTTCTCTCTTTGTTGCACACCGTGTATTTGAAAACGTGCACTTAACGCTTGAAAATTTTATCTACTTTCTCCCCCCCCCCACTACTCTCTTGTTCACCTTACTTATAATCTTTTGCTTTAAAAATCAAACATTATTTAAATAATCGGAATATATATATACCATACGTAAAAATGCGTACGCGTATTTTTCATAATAATGTTATCTTTTCCAAGAAAGTATAATCGTGCACATTAAAAAAATAAAACAACACACCGCGATAAAATGGGGGGAAAAATGAAACAAAAGTCGATGCGGGAGAGTCCTCCTCAGTAGCTCGCTTCGAAGAACAAAATATTTATCGTTCTTACGAAGAGAGTGCTCGCACACATACACAACACACACAAATTTATACGTATCGTATCTCCATAGAAGCGGATGCACAAGTATATTCGTGATTAGTCATCGCAGCGAGCTAATATCGAGCTAAAAGCAGTCAAGGAGAATTAAGTGCGTGACTCACTTCTACCACTGCACTTATACACACTTATGCACCGTCGTCGTGTCGTGTCATCGTCATCGTCATCATAGTTGTCGTTGTCGTGCGCACGTCAAAAACAAGAAACCGACTCACGTTTCCCCGATTTGAAGGAATCACGCGTGTGAGCGCGCGCGCGCACACACACACACACGAGAGTACCTTGAAAAAAATGATCATCGAGAGTTCAGCAAAAAGAACGCGACCATCGTGCTCGACCGCGAGATGAGAAAATTATTGGTCGTTTAAATTTACTTATGTGATTCGAATTAAAATATAAATGTATATATGAAAAAAAGAAGACGCCTATATGAAAAGAAAAGAGGAAGGCATTTATATGCGTGAGTCACGAACCTATATGTATTTATGGTGCATATTAAACAACCCCAACACAACAACAACAAAATAAAAAGAGAATAACGATAATGTTTCTTATGCGAGAATGGACTTACTATAATCGAGATAAAAATTTTATAAATTTATTTTTTTTATTATTATTATACACATAACATATCTCCGCCATATACTTATTTTTGTTCTGTATATCATTCTTCACGTGTCGCGTATCGACAGTAAAAAAAAAAAAAGAGAAAAAAAGGAGAGAGAGAGAGAGAGAGAGAAAAAAATAATAACGGGAGGCCAGTTCATTCGCGAACGATGAAAAACAAAGTTTCCTCGGTGAAAGATTGAAACAATGGCGGAGCCAGGCGCAACTGACGCTGGAGGGGGGTGGGGGGTTAGATGCAAAGAAGAAAGAGTGACAGAGAGAGAAAAAAAGAAAGAATGAAAGAAGGAGGAGGAGGAATAGAGGAAAAAAGTGAAGGAAGAAGGCATTGGCCACGATGTTCATCGAATGACAAGACGATAACGATAACAGGTAGCAAGAGTGGGGGGATATGAAAACGGTGAAAAGAAGACCGCGTTTTTTTTTGTTAGAAAACTAAAGTGAAAAGCGAGCAATTGAAATTCCCAATCGGATTGACCGTCATCGACGCGTTGACATATTGATATTTATCAAATTACGTATCCCCGTTATTTCAAAAAATGTTTAAGTATTTTAGAGAGACCCTAAAATACGGGGCCACTATTTATTTCTTTCTTTTTTTTTTATTCTTTTTTCTAATATTAAATACACCTTCAAATCAATGAACCTCCGCAATTCGATGCAAATCGTAAAATTGTGGTCTTGGTATTTATTAGCGTTTATTCACCGCCGTCTCGTGAACTTGAATGACCTTGCAATGAGGCTAACGACTCCTCCTCTTCCACGTGTAGTATGTTAATAAGCGTCTAATATAATACTTTAAAGTAATCGCTTTGATAAATTGTGTTTTACGTCACAAGTTGTTAATTTTGAAATGCTACTTTGATAAACGACTTTTATAGTATTATAAAGGACAGGAGAAAAAAAACAACCTTTCGCGTGCATTTATATTCCATTTGTGTATAAGAGGAACAATGCTTGTGATTGTGAATTAAGTTAAATATATAATTAATAATACAAAAATGTGAGAATTGCGATGAAAATTGAAAACAAAACAAAAAAACAGATTTTATCGATTAAAATTTTTCCATCGATGTGCGCAAACAACGAGAGGCCGCCGCTAAATAATGTGATCGTCATCGTGGTCATCGTCATTCGTTTGATTCGCAATAATAACGTAAGAAGTAAAGGAAAAGAAAATAATAAAGATGGACGTAAAGTTGTGGTGTTTTTCTTTTCTTTTTTATTATTTTTTCTTCTTTTTTTTTTTTATTTTACTGACCTAATAGCCGCAGGACACGAGGTAGTCGCCGAGTTTTTCAACGACAGACGCGGCTTGCTGTGGCTGTATGGGGTCCTCATAGAGGGAGACGACTACGGCTTGCGTCGTCTTCATGCAGTGGACGCCAACCTTCCCGAGTTTTGCCCTTATCACACGATCCGTACCCGATAGATATATGTACCTGTTGCCAGCTAAGGTAACCCCCGATGACGTTAGGATATCCTGTTCCGCGAAACCCTGCACCAATTTCGCGAGCTCCTCTTTGCTCACCTGAAATTACATCAATTCAAATTTTTTCATGAATATATTCTACACATATTTATATATATAATACATATATGTTAAGGGGGGAAAAAAATAAATATATAATAATAAATTAATTTGCATAGTTCTTTTTTTTTTTAAAGAATGACAAGAGAAATTTAAAAACAAAAAAGATAATTCGTGTTGAATTATTAAATCTACTTGTGTGCGTGTGTCTATCTATTTTGTAGATTTAATTCATCAACCTTTATCATTAGTATGAACTTTTAACTCGATTATTGTGGAATGCGAGTGTTTTATATCTCTAATTAAATAGAGTCAACGTTTAAATTTGTTCATTTGTAAATAATACAAATGGAGAAAAGAGTTGAAATAAGAATTTGATAAATACACGCCTAAAACTGCATGAATTATTTAATTTTGCCCAATCTGATATAATCGTTGAACAAGAAACATTTGCGTTACATCTACTAGTATAAAATAATGATCAGGCTTGATCGTTGTTGTTAGCTGGAAATCACGCACGCTCATTAATTTAACAATTATCATTGCCCTATTGATCGTTATGTCACAGATCATTCTTATAATAGTTTTGTCGGGCTAATATTTGTTTGTCCGTGCTTTGAGGATCGATAAAAATCCATAGAAATATAACTCTATTATTATCGTTCACATTTTATATAAAATCGTTAGTTAATTAGAAACAACATTTGAATTTTCAATATTTATATTATTTATTTGAATGTTTACAATGTATAAAAAAAATATGTAGCCGAGAAACACATATATATATATATAAAAACAAAAAATACAATATATATTATTATAGGGAAGGAAGGTGGGGTTCCGTGGCTCTAATTACGGTCCTGAAAGCTATGATTCATGCAGCCTTTTGCGGTCGATTCTCTTTTCTCCACACTCTGCTCGCCACAGAGTCACAAAGCATTGCGGAAAAAAAACTATTTTCACTAATTCATAAGATCAGTCATCGTAGAAAAAGTGTGTAATAGTTTTTTTCTTCTTCTTCTTCTTTTTATAAATTGTAATTTTACCAAACGACCTAATTCCGTAAAAGCTATTTATAGCAGAATTTTAAAAGTAAAATCAGAAATGTGACAAAAAATTACCAACTTATTGACTGTGTTTCAAAACGAAATCCAGTTTTAAAGATTCAAAATATGCTGCATTCTAGGCGCATGCGCTGGACTGATAAATCAAAATACGAACAAAATGGATTCTTAAATTGTAAAATCAACACACATTGGCATTTTATCTGAAATATTTAATTATCCGTTTATAATATCATTTAAATCATTTTCGATAAGAATTTTAATGATGATAAAAATAATTCGTTTTCGAAATTTGTAATTAAATAATTTTGTAACAGTCCTCCTAGTAGTATGTGTAAAAAATTAACTCGATTACTATAATTTCAAATACTAATTATTAAGTTCTGTCATGTTACAAAAGCGAATGCAAGATAATCGATGATCTCTCGCTGAGGTACCCACGAAGTAGCAATTTTCTATACAGCACTGAGAGAGGTTGCTGCCCGACTGGCATCGCCATTTTGGCATTTGTAACCTGAAAGTGTGATCGTAAAGCCGCTGCTGCAGCTGGCGACCTTTATCTCCTCAAAGTTTCACCAACCGAAACCTTCCACTGTACTATGAAATACCGTCTTGAAAGTGTTGTAAACGTTAATGAAAAAAAAAAAAAAAAAAAAAAAAAAACACCCCCTTAACATTTTTTTTCTTTCATGAAATAAATTATTTTATTATAAAAATTAATTTTCTTTTCTTAAGGTACAAGTATGCATGCATATTTTTTTTTATAAATGTATTATTTTCATTACGTTATTTTAAACGTTCTAATAATAATTGAAAACAATAGTCAAGGATATAAGAAATGTTTCTCGTTTTATTCCAACAAAATGCAACCTTCTTCTCCATTCGATTCGACTTTCTCTTATTCATCATTGATAAAAATTTGATATATAGATTCTAGGGTTAGGTGGTATCATCAAGTATACATACGAAATAATTATAATTTATATTTAACATGAACTTTTTGTACCAACTTAAAACCACACCCAACAATAAATCAAAAGGTCCAAGGCCTCATACTTGAAATAAACGTCGACGAACCTAACATAAAAAAAAAAAGATATCTACGTATACGAGAGCACTTTTAGGTTTTTTATTTCCAAGCTTCTCTTGTCATCAGCTCTCAAAAAACAGAAGATCTACGAAAGAACATAGATGCAAGATACGCTAAATAATGCTTTAATGTTTAAAAAAAATCGTTGACAAATTTCGGCATTATTGTTAGATTAAGTTCGAAAGTTATTGGGTTGTCTGAAAAGTTCGTGAAGATTAAAAAATAAAAAAAGAATAAAATCATTTATCTATATTTAAAAAGATAATTGTGAAAAATATACAAATTTATTTATAAATCGGCAGAAAAACTTTCTGGACTAAACGAATATTTTATTATAGCAATTAAGAGAAAATGGAATAATGGTAAACGTTGATAAAACGTTTAACAAAGCTTTCATAGAACACGTCACGTTAGGATGGTGATAGTGAGTGAGTGTTGTGTAGTAGTGGTTGTAGGATCGGCCACGAATAGAGAGAACAGAAACCGGTTTCTCTGATATCGCTGACAACACTCGCCAAGATATCGTACTAACGTCTGTGATAGAGAGCTTGATAGGCTTACTACTATTCCACAAACCTGTTGTTTCAACTGATCAAGCATTAAACCATCCCTCATCATTGTCATAATGTCACAGACCTATCGCACTATGAATAAGAACACGCATGTCTACTAACCTTATCTCTCTCTTATCCAAATACCTCAAAATCCCATCGTTGCAACGAAAATTCTTCAAATACAAAAATACTTTTGGTTCTCCAATGAGCCAATGAAAAAGAAACAAAAGAGAAGAGAAAAGAAAAAAAGAATGATGCAACATACGAAAAAGGTTTAGCGTAATAAAGTAACGTGAAATGCTAAAATGAGTGTTGCGAATCACGCAAAGGAGAAACAAAATTGACGTACCAAAAGATTAAGTAATTTAAACTAAATTATCCCACAAAAATTGTATGCGGTTTAATTATTTATTTGTAATTAAAATTTGAGCAAATTGTCTCTAGGTATTTAACTAGGATTATAACTAGAAGATAAAATATAACATGCTAGAATGGAACAACTCGGTATAGAGAGACGATTATGAAAGAAATTAGTACAAAAAATTTTGTGAACAAGGAAATGAAATTTTCACGCAACATCGATTAGGAAAATAATCACCCGTAGATTATTCCTCGTGACATTTGTACGTTCCTGGGACTTCTTTTGACTTCTCTACGATATTCATTTACCGACAGGATATGCGAGAGCTTTTGGAATGGTGCACGGAGGGCGCCCCGATCATTCACAAATATTTCTCGAGTGGACCGTCATCGAATAATCGAGAAAACGAATATATGCTTCTCTTCCTTTACACGTTTTCCTAAAACGAGTACTTTTTTTCAAAAGCATACCTATGTATTCTATTTGATATAATTATACGATACGTCGAGATCAATCGTATCGACGAAAGAAAAAGTTTTTTTAAGGGATTACTTACTATTCGTAATAAAATTTTATACGATCGGAGAGAGAGAGAGAGAGAAAAAAAAATAATTGAAATCGAATTGATGATTTTAATGATGTTAAATATTTAATGCTAATAAAAAATAATTGAAATTATACTCTTTCAGACCAACAATCAGAACTATCATCGTCCATCCATTTCATTAATCCTTGTGTATTCTTGTACGGATGAACGTTAAAACCTAAATATTCCTAGTATCAAAAGAACAGGAATCATAGTTAATCGCAACCCTTTAAACATCCCGTAAGTCAACTGTGCATCAAATATATTTTTAAAGAAAATAAATAGCAATTGGGAAGAAAGCAATGACAATAAGTAAAGAATGTAAGAGCGCTGTGTGTGTGTGTGTGCATTGAGAAAAAAGAAAAGAGAAAGAGAAAAAGAAAGGAAGAAAGAGAGAAAAAGAGGCGGCCATATTTTAAACATCGCAAAACCGTTGACGATCTAACGTTCAAAAATTTCAACGTTCCAAGTGGCGGAGGATCCGCCACACCCTATTTCACTGACGAATCGGACGAAAGAAGAAAATACATTTTTCTATGATCTAGCAAATGGGCTTAACACTCTATCGATTATTATCGAGTAAGCAATAAAAATATTTCGAAAGGAAGGATCGAATCTTGTCACTACTCGTCGAAAAAATCTACGACGTCTGTGGTGTGCAGCAATTGGACGTAAAACTATTCCAACGTCAAAACGATCGACGACCATCTTCTCCTCCTCCTTTTTCTTCTTCTTCTTCTCTGTTAACGGCGTAACGCCTCTTGGCGTTCTTCGGCTCTCCTTCTCATCCTTTCCGTTTTGTCGAGTGTTTCGACCATGCGTCGTCTCGAAAAACATGTCCGCCGGTCGCGCGCTGCCACGAGAGCCCGGCCGGCGAGCAACGAGAATGTGTTAAGTGTATGTGTGTGTGCGCGCGCGCACATCCGCGTACAAAACGAGCTCCTCTACCTAGAAACAATGCCCTCCTGGCTGTACAGATACTAATCAATTTTTATTTTTTTGTTCTCTCTTCCGAAATATGCCCTCTCCAAAATAATTAGTCGTACTCCTAGGACCCCAAAAAGGAAAGAAGGGAAAAAATTAGAATATTAAATTTCTTCGCGTACACGCCATGCGACAAGATACGACGTACAAAATCCTTATGGTACATACTTTTTCTTTTTTTTTTGGGGGGGGGGRGGGGACGGAAAGAATGTTAGACTCAAGAACAAGGAAACTTAGAGAGTTCTCCCTTGCGATCGATCACACTTTGCAGGAGTATGTTCCTCTCTCTTTCTTGCTTCCACTTTAAGATCCATGTATCGTTTTCTCTTTCTCTTTCTCTTTATTTCTCTTTTATACTCTTTCCTTTGTCGTTAAGCCGGCTGTACGAGAAAATACATAAATTCGGCATTTCGCTGATCTTTCTCCCCTACCTACTCATCTACCTACCTATCTACTCCTACATACTACATACCTCTCACACTCTTACATACTCTTTCTTTCTTTCTTTCTTTCTCTCTCTCTCTCTCTTTCTTTTTTTTTCTTTCTTTACGTCTCTCTGCTACTCACTTCGAAGCCTTCGGACTTTGCCCACAGGTTGCCATCATGTCCAGCTATAGCAGCTTTGGTAACGCACCTCGATGCAAGCAGTTGCTTATCAACGTAATCCTGCCAGCTCATTTTTGAACACAGAAGGAAAGGGGACGAGCAAACCGTTCGCACTATCGACACAAGAGACACGATCCGTCAACCGACCGACTCGTCTGACGACTACCGATATCTGCTCAACGCCGCTCGCATTTACCCCCGTGTTCCCCCTCATCTACCCTTCTCTCCAGCAAACTACACCGCCCCCTCCTCCTCCACTTCTCTTTACCAGATACCGTTGACCGATGACGACGAACCAACTATTCAGTGTTACCAATCTTACATTCATTTTCAAATTACCCTAGAAAACGTTCATCCGATAGGACGATTTTCTTAGGAATCAAGTCATCTAGTTATCTTTAAAATGCATGTGCAGCGCCATTTTGAAACTCAATTCCCTAGTTTAAGATAATTGTAAATTTAAAAATGCATGATTTTTTTTTATAGCAAATTTTGTGGTAAATAATCTGTGAATATAAAACTTATTTATTTATACATATTTATTGTAAATTGGTTCGATATTTGCATTGGATATTGCATCAGTCGAATAAAATGTACCCTTAGATTCTTCCACGCGATTGGTAGATAATACGTTCATCGAATGAAACAAATTATTTAAAAATATTTATTGTACGAGATATTTAAAGTATTATAAAATGATTTAATATAATATGAGTAGATAAATATAATAATTTCATATATAATTTTATATTTTTATTATTTAATAGATTTAAATATCAGCAAAGACAAAATTTGCAGCACTGTATCAAGCCTGCTAACTAAATAAAATTGAAACATCAGCACACGTGTGTATCGTAATTACAGATATGTTGTATAAACAAGTACATTTTTTATAAAAATATAGGTAAATTATAATAAACAAGATGCAGGTTTCTTGTCCAAATAATGTGAAAATTTATAACTTAAGTGTAGGCAAGTCTTTGCCCGATGTAAGTAATCATATATAATTAATAATTTCCTACTTTTTAAAAACCATCTTTAAGGTTATGCCTGTATACATTTACTGTTTTTTGTTAATTACAGTGGTTGTCCGAAAGAAAAAAACGAAGTTTATTAAAAAAAAATGTTGGTATGTGATATTTCATGCTTTCTATTGCATATTTATTATTTATCATTAAAACATTAACGTATGTGTTAATATAAGAATATTTTAACACAATTACAAATATGATAATATTTTTCTAGGCTTAAGACGTCGTGTAGAACTTATACAAGATTTTGATATGCCCGGAGTTAGTACATCGATTAGAATTTCGAAGGATGGACAATATATTTTAGCAACCGGAATTTATAAACCACGTGTTAAGTGTTTCGATGTTAATAATTTGTCATTAAAGTTTGAAAGATGTTTTGACTCTGAGGTAATCACGTTTGAAGTACTATCAGATGATTATAGCAAGGTAAGCATTTAAATAAATAAAATAAAGTGATAAGAAATGTATAAAATACTTTGTGCTTTGTCCATGAATTATTTATATATATTTTCTTGGTTTTTTAGGCTGTATTTTTACAATATGATAGAAACATTGAATTTCATGTTGCTCATGGCAAATATCATCGGCTTAGGATACCACAATTTGGTAGAGATTTAAAATACCATTATCCGTCTTGCGATCTTTTTGTCGTAGGTGTTAGGTTGGTTTGAAATATATATACTATGTTCAAATTCATTGTGTTTAATTTGTTTTTTTTATCTGAAGAATGATTTCAAGAAATAGAAGAAGTAATAGAGACAATTATTTCTGTTTTAGTAATGAAATCTACAGAATTAATTTAGAGAGAGGACAATTTTTACAATCGTTTCAATCGGAAGCAACTGCGATAAATAAATGTGAAATAAATCCGTTACATCATTTACTTGTCGTTGGAACTCAGGACGGAAAAGTAGAAGCTTGGGATCCACGAACAAAAAGCAGAGTTGGCTTATTGAATTGTGCGTTAGATTGTGTACTTCAAAATGATAGGTAAAAAATATCATTGTTATATAAATAATACTAATTAACGCACGTTAAGCATAATGTTAATTATTAGTGAAATTATTTTATAGATTGTACACAGTTCCTTCCATTACTTCTTTGAAATTTCAAGGTGGTTTGACGTTAGGCGTAGGAACATCTAACGGGAAAGTTTTATTATACGATGTCAGATCTTCTAAACCATTTTTATCAAAAGATCATGGATATGATTTACCTATCAGAAGTATCGAGTTTCATAAAAAATTAGATCTTGTTTATTCTATGGACAGTTCTATCGTTAAAATATGGGAAAAAGATAACGTATGTATGATCTTGCAACAATTACGAATTTCCAAACTTTTATTATATCTGCTTTATTTTATTGAATAAAAATTATTTTTTTTTCTTTGTATTTTTAGGGAAAATTATATACGTCCATAGAAGCGGAAAATGATTTTAACGATTTATGCGTTATACCGGATACGGGAATGCTTTTGATAGCAAATGAAAATACTAAAATACAAACTTACTATATTCCTAGTCTTGGTCCAGCACCTTACTGGTGCAATTTTCTAGACAATCTTACAGAGGAATTAGAAGAATTAAATTATGATATTATTTATGATGATTATAAATTTGTTACTGGAAAAGAATTGGATGAATTAGGACTTTCTCATTTAAAGGGCACTAATTTACTTCGAGCTTATATGCACGGTTACTTCATAGATATCCGTTTATACAGAAAAGCTAAAAACGTAATGAAACCATTCGAATTTGAAGAATATAAGAAAAAGAAGATAAGAGAAAAGTTATCAGAAACGTGTGCCAATAGAGTACAAGTATGCAGATTTATTTTATTTCAAATTTTTATTCTTCTATGTGTTTTATAGAATCTAATGAATTTTATTTAAATTTTTGCAGGTTCAACAATTGCCTAAGATCAACAAAGAACTGGCTTTGAAATTAATGGAGGAAGAAGCGAATCCAAATACTAAAAAGAAGAAGAAAACTACGGTAAATATTTTGAAGGATGACCGTTTCAAAGCATTGTTCAACAATCCAGATTTTCAAGTTGATACTAATTCAGAAGAATACGCGTTGTTGAATCCGGTTATCTCGCAACTTGAGAAAAGCAAAGCAAAGAAATTAAAGGCTGCGATAGAACAGCAAGAACAATCGGAAAAGAAAAATTATTCGCTTAACGAAGAACACGAAGGTAAAATATTTTAATTGTTATATTATAACGTACAACGACGATACCTTTGCTTTGATTGTGCCGATGTACTGACATTATTTATTTTGTTCTAACTGTAGATAGAAATTCTAGTTCGGATGAGAGTTTTATTCATGATGATAGTTCGGACGATGAAAAAACTTGGGCTAAAGATGTGCGAAAGCAATATCGAATGATAAAGAGAAACCGACAAAGAGAAGAAGAAGAAGAAGAAGAAAAAGAAAGAGAAAGAGAAAGAGAAAGAGAAAAAGAAAAAGAAAAGAACGATAAGTCAAAAGACAATAAAGAAATATCAAATAATCAATCGAATATTTATGAATTTAATGAAGATATAGAATTCAGAGGAGCAATACCTGTTCCAAAAAGACAAAATAAGTAAGTAATATATAAAGTATAGATCGTCAAACTCGTATTATTAAATGCAAATATATTTTTCAGAATCTCTCTTGGAAAAAGATTGCAAAATGAAGAAATGAATGATGCCCAAGTATCCGGATCGCGTGGTAGCAGAGAAATGAAATTTATTATGGGAAAAGTACGTCTAATAATTACTATAAAATATAAATAAGCAATTATTGAATTTACGTGTTTCTTATATTCTTTTCTTTTCTTTTTTTTAGAGAAAACAAGAGTCGAAATCAAATCAAACGGTAAAAAGACACAGATCAGAATACAAGCATCTTCTACGGCCGACTGGAAATATTCATAAAAAAAAATATTAGCGTTAATTTATTGTACAATTAGTTTAAATAAAAATAATACAATTGTTATTAATTGCAGCCATTATACACTCATTTATAGCTGCCGCAATCGCAGCTATTTTATTTTTAAATTAATTATTAATAATAAGATAATTTATTTTAATTTATTGTTTCTCTCTTCTTGTGTGCAATGATCATTTCTTGCATTTAGAAAATAATTAACGATGTTATATATAAAAGAATTTGTTTAGACGTGATTCATATGATATCTCGTAAAAGGTGAAGAGTCATCTCAAAACAGCGATATAATTAAATTCATCTTGGGGTGAATTTATTGATACAAATGTTTTCTTACCAAGTTCGAAAGCATTGTCCTCCTTGGATCAAGAAAAATGGTGATGGTAAGTTTTATACTAATTTTAATTATAAGTATAATTATTTATGATTCATATTTAATAAATAAATCATAAGTGTAAATCGTGATCGTTTTTATTAAAACATTAATTGAAAAGAATTAAACTTTTACTGAAAGATATTTTCAAAGTTTATCAAGGAGATAAAAGTGTTATAAAAGTACTATAGTACATTAATTATTATTACACAACATCTTATATACACAAAAATACATGTTTTGATTTAATGTATACACCAAATTTACCTTTGTTACACCATTTGTTTTGATTGACATATTTCGAACTAGAGAGATACTTTCTCTTATGTATCAAAAGTAAAATTGACTTCATAGACATTAATATTCAAAATTTGGTATGTCTGCCAGAAAATTGATATATATTTTCAATAAGGTAATATCACAACAATATTTTTATAACATTCCATACATTACTTATTGTGCATTATGACATGTTGCTTGTACTTTCAATGAGTTACAATATTTTTAAAACTTTATGTACCTTTTTTATATTAATTCATTACTATTAATTAAAATTTAAAATTGTTTTGTGATTTTATATTTTAGACTGATTCTAATGAGTCAAAAAATGGAAAAGATCCACCTCATCAAAACTATGAAGACAACACTCATACATCTACGCCTTCTGTTTTATCTGAATTACAGATACACAGTACTGAAGTAAGAAATATTTATTAAATTTATCTAATAAATAATCAATAAAGATTATATTGTAAATTATGTAGGTAGAAATAACAGAAATGCCAAATTTCGAACATTTGAATACATCAGCAGTTTTACATTATTGTAAACATAAAATATTAAGGCCTTACTTAAGATTATTGGGCGTGATGGGATTAAGGCCAATAAGCAGCGATGAGACCGATCACTTTCCACGTTATTGCATTTTAGCCAATTTTCATACTTTTCAAGTCGCCTTATTTATGTGCATTGGATATATTTTACAATATATGGCATGTTTCAGGTAAACGATATATTAATATTTTCTTATTTTTAAAAACTCATCTGCGTTCTTTTTTTACAGAAGAGATAGAGGATTTTGTTATAAACTATTACCATTGGAATTACAAATCGTTCCAAATATTAGTAAAGAACGTATATATGAGCCAATTTGCTTTGGAAATATTATATTCAGTTATATAATTCCTAGTTTACTTCATTTAATCGCATACTTATACACAGTATACCTATTTCGTATTAAGGAACACGAGCAATTACAAAATCTAATGGAACGAGCGTTCCTCTTATCATCTAATCCGATTCATAGAGGAAATCAAAAAAAGCTCGTATGGATATTGTGGCTTTTTATAGCTTTAAGTATAGTTTGGATGATAGGAGCATTAATTACAGTTAACGTTATGATGGCACAAGGAATTATTTTGTTTCAATGGCTGGAACATAGGTATTTTTATTAACGTATATATAATTAATGCATAATTAATAAAGGAAAATAAATTAATTATGTATAAAATATTTTTTTCTACAGTCCGTATCACATTAAAATTATTTTGAAAATACTTCTAATTATATGCACGCTGTGGCACGATATGGTACAAGGAACTATCATAACAAGTTATTGCTTGCAAGGTCAGCTTTTAATCGCGCATCTTTATTTTCTCAGAGGAAAGTTACTTCAACATACGTTACCTCCCATAGACTGGATGAAGGTATGCATTATAAATTCTGTAATATATATGATACAAACAAAAAATGATTTTGTTTAATATAAAAAATATTTGTGAAACATAGGAGATAAGCGAATTTAAGAAATTGTTGAAATATTTTAACAACGATATGGGACCTGCCGTTTCTATTTATACAGTTGTTAATCTATCCTGGGCAATTGCAGGAACTATTTGGCTGTTGCAAAACAATGATGGAATAGAAAATAATCCAGTAACATACATTGGTATAATTAATGTAATATTATGGATATTGATATCGATAGTTCCATTTATCCAGGTAATACAAATACAGATTTTGTAAAACAGTTTTGACTTCTGTATGAATAAATTTTTGTTTCATATAATATTTTAATCTTTATATTAATTTTTCATTTTTATAGGCAGCAAGATTAACAACTGCCTGTTCTATGATTCAAAGTATTGGTCATGAAATTCGCATCCGACCATTTGTTTACGAAAGTACACCAAGAGAAGATTTGGATACTATACTTTTATATACTTCATCATTAAAAATGTGTGCTAGATTATTTAGAATACCGGTGGCAGGTAGGTATTTGTTCTTACTTTTAACTGTTGCTAGCATTACTATACTTACATTAGGTCAATGTCAAATCTTATGATTATCAATTTATTTCCATTGTATTTCTTATTAATTTGAAATACGTACGATTTATATACGTTTTAAGTATACCATTAAAATCAGTAAGTAATAAAAAAAACAAATTAATTATTCATCATAATTAATATTATTATAAATGAATATTTATAATTGACATCAATTGTAATATTCGTAATTTATCTTTGTATATCATATTTTATCATTTTTTTCAATGCTAAGATACTAAGAAATTATTTTATTGGAATATGGTGTATTGTATGTTTTAAGTTGTTGTAAAAAGTAATTTATTCATTCTGCATAATAATTAATTACAATTCACTTTTCTTTTTAAATGGCAGTAATATTTTAGCGCCTTATAAATGAACTTAGCTTCTTTATGAATAGTTCTTTTTTTTTATAACGTATATGTCTATATATAACTGTTTAATTTTTGTTATCAATTACAAATTACTCTTAATTAAAAAGATATGAGTTAGATTTTAGCCGTGTTTTTAATATTATGCGATATTATTTTTGTTGTACATATTCAAAAAATCAGAATATATACAGGATGCCCTAATTTTTGTCTGAAAAATTTTACCACCATATTTTATAAGTAAATATGAGAAACAAAATATTCTATGGGCTTTTCCTTAACTTTTTAATGAAGCACTTAAGAATCCATGTTTATAATAAACATCGTTTTTTTATTTTTACTTATAGAGTATACTGGTAAAATTTTGTAGAAAAAAACTGGGATAAAATGTAATAAAAATACACGTGTGCAGGAAGAAATGTACAAATATATATATGATAAGAAATTCAATTTAATTATTCAACTAATTTCATAATGGTGTTAATTATGATATTGCTATATAAGATAAATAAGATTTATTGAATATCAGCATTTTACGAATATTGCCGCATCAACAAATCTTACCGATCGAATCAAAGCAATTAATTATTTATCATTTCAAATATTTAATAACATATTATTCTTAAGTGATTATCACACATAATCATCGATGAAAATCGTAGTAAAAATGTATATCGCAGTATTCTAAGATTTATGATAACGTTATTACAAATCATAAGTTATAATTCGCAATAATACTAAATTAAATATTCATTTGCGATAGCTCGGCAACGATCATGAGTAATGATGATATGAATTCATTTTTTTTGATAAACGCTAAAGAATATCATCGTTACATCAATTTGCTTAAAAATTTATATCCTTTACATATTATGTAATTTAATAAATAGTACTTTTTCATTTTAAGGAGAACAAAAATGATCCCGTATATATTATACATATGAAAATTAAATTAATTCTCGTGTGCTTGTTATTATTGTGACTGATACTTTTTTTTTTTATTTAAACTCTAGATTTTTTTCTCTCCCCTTTTTTTTCTTTTTCTAAATACCACTGTTCATACTAAAATAATGAAATTAAGTGCAGGTTGAACGTTCATATTAATGATTTAAACAAATCAGAATTCAATTGCCTTTAATAAATATGATATTTTAATAAGAGCTCATTATACTAATTTACATTTATATAGGTAGCATCCGCAGGAACTACTTAGTTAATAGCACATTGTATTGACACTTCGTGGTACTGCCTTTTGAATACCAAATGCTATAATAGCACTAGTAGTAAAAGGGCAAAATTTCATTTTTTCTGAACCTACTCTTTAATAATGTTAATACATTTATTAAATGTGCCTAACTGTATTATAATACATATTTAAATTCGAAAAAATGTTGCGGATAATGCGTGTGTGTTAAGAAGTTTTAGCTGGATAATTTATTATAAAATAAAATATTAGTATGGATTCTAATTATTTATAGACAGAAATATTAAAAATGTATAGACAAATTACTTCTACTTATTTGTTTATATGAATTCATGCAGTTGCACATTATTATATCCAGGAAATCAAAAAATATTTACAATGATATTTAAAGTTCAATGCTGAGAAATAGCCAATTTTAGTGTGTTGTTGCCTTTTAGATTACTAGATATTATCCTTTCAATTATCTTTTATGAATTGCACAAATTATTTTTATATTAAAATAGTTTGTATCCTGAAGTGTTAAAGTTTTCTCTGCGATGAACTCTCGATAAACTGCGAATAGCGGTAAGCGATCGAAATGAATTTATAAAGAGTTAGTTTTCTTTTTTTTCTGAACAATCCTTGTAAGATTCGTAGCAAAAAAAGAATAATATAGAATGAGCTACTTACAATGCACTAGTATCATTTAATAAAAAAATAGTACACCACGAATGATGATAATTAAAATGCCGTGAATCATAACTTAACGAAAATTTCATTATTAACAAATATCTTGACGGAGATTTAGTGAACTATCTTAATAGAATGTTTCAGCTACCCCTTGCTTCTGTCGTTGATGCATCCTCGCCTCTCTGCATTTTTAACCATTCAACAAATTCATCAAGCATTACAGGCCCTAAAACAGAATATCGATGTAAAAACAATGCACAAATTTATTGGAAAAAAAACATCCTAGGAAAACATATAAAAAGAATATTAATATTAATAAGTAATATGTTATATATATGCATATATATGTATATATATACACGTTAATATGATTTCCCTTTGTTTATATTCTTCTTTAGGTAAAAAGAATACAATAACATCACTTACACGCTCCATCTAAATCATAATTAGATAAATCATGATAGATTGTACGAGAAAATTCTAAAATGTTGCACCATTGATCTTTGTTGATTACTTTGTACTTGGATTGATCTAGGAACTGAGCAAACTGCGTAAATAAAGGCCAATGCTTTCCTAGAAGTAATTGTAGCATTACTCTAGCAGTTTCCATATCCATACTACGTTGATCTTTATCCTAAAGTATGTAGACCAAAATAAAGTACAAATCCTCATACATATTTTGTTTCTTTTGTTGCAAATTTCATGGTTGTACATACCCTAGCAAAATCATAGGCATATCTGTAGATTCCTTTAAAAATGTGAGGATCATTTAACTGGTTCCTTAGGTATTCAAGCTTTTGTTGTATTTTATATATGGAATCACATTGTAACTCCGAAAGACCCTTTAACCATTCAGTCAAAGTAAAAAACCCCATTTGACGAGCATTCATTTTATAAGCAAGAACCAGCATCACTACATTTTCAGGTTCTACCCCAATGTCTTCGCAAAACTTTTCCATTCCTTCGGGGCCAAGAGTATCCGAATCATCTGGTGTTGTATATTCTCTAAACCAAGTTATACATCGTTTCTGAGAAAATGATGATGCACTTGACACATCTTCTGTTTTTGTATATCGTCTTGCTCTAAAATAATAAGAAAAATAAGAAATTTTTCCTTTACGAAGTGTCATATTAACAGCGCTTGTTAATGCGCAATGTAACCATCTTATACCCAGATGTATGGCGCAGTCGTTTTGATGGATGCCTTGGTAAACCCTCTTCATGGGCACTAGGTGACATATCAATTGATGTGTGATGATGATTTGTGCTAGAGGGCGCTCTACGCTTGCTGCGTGGCATCCCTCTCTTCGCTAAAATTACAATTTATTTTTAATGTCAGCGTATACAATGCATTTCAAGAGAAATATTTCATAATAAAATTTGAATATAATATAATCATTCTATACAATTGTCATTTGTATAAAAAGAAAGTAAATCAATGCTATGCGTAATATTTTTTATCGGAGTATGCATACACAAGTATAGAATGTAAAAAGTCATTGCTATAGAAATTCATTAATTTCATTATGACATATATACTTATGAATAAATTCAATAAATAATTTAGTAAAGATAGACCATTAAAAACTAAAAAAAAGACAAAAATAGGATTAACGAGTCACTTTTAATAGCAAATTTGTTTAGATATATGTCTGTGCTAAAAGACAACAACTTTTAATATTTTCAATTGATTCTATATTCAATTTAGTAAACATCTTTACACGTTACGTGCCACCTTGTTTTGTTGAACTTTCCAGTTAGGGTAAAATAATATATCAACTGTAGAAACACATGCTTGAACACAAAGTATACTTTTGGTCATTAGTAATAGATGTGACAATTAAAATGTTACTTTTAAAAAAAATACATTTGACATATAAACATAAAAATTCGAATGAAATATTAGTGATTTTTGCATAAAGTACAAAATAATCTTAGTACTTTATATTGCAAATCACTCAAAAATTTCTCTCAATTGATCTAATTCTATTAATAAATTGAAAAAAAAAATCTACAGTAATAAATTAATATTGAAAAAAATCCTTTATTTTTTTATATTAAACATAAAATATTTAACAATAACAGTATTCACACACACAGATAAAATGAAGTAACTAAAATGACTTAAAGAAATATTAGCTTGTTCATCATTAATAATGAAAGTTCTTACCACACAGCAGATGTAGATGTTATCGAGCAAATTAAGCCGACTGGATAAAATGCTAACGTAACTTCTTAATAATGATTAAACAGTCATATTCTTTTTCTATTATAGGAGAAAGATTGAGGTTAGGTGTTCCAAATGATTTTAACACCACGTACTTTTCGAGTCCTAATGTACTACTTTCGAGCAATTTGCACAACATGTGACGTAGCAAGCAAATACCTGAGATATGATAAAATAATGTATTTCAAAATTTATCCTTCGAAGATCTAATATTTTAAATAAATATATATTACGAATAATGAATACGAAAATCGAGATTGATAAATCGTATATATGATGTATATGTATGTATATGTGTATTAAAAATTATTGTGTTGAATAAATGTCAAAAATGTAAAAAAAAGACTAGACGATATTAAATGATCAAACAAATTTCCTTGAAATATATATAGAAATGTACAAAGAATCGAAGTGACCCTCCCTACCTTGTCTGACGAACGAACCACTAGAGCAATCGTAAAAGAAAACTATTTCTCTTATCCAAAATTTGACATTCAAAATAAGACTTTTATTTTCTTTGTTCAAGTTCCGTCTGTAGAAATAATATAATACATAGTGTAGCCAACGCTAATAAATATACTTTATTATTCGATTTAATTTTTGGACATAAATTACTACCTAAAATCTTCCCACCGTTCAAAATCTCTCTCTCTCTCTCTCTCTTCTTGCAAACTCCGTTTTATTTCATTTTATTGCCGTTTCAAGACAGCATGCCTTTTTACCAGAGATGCCAAACTTAGGAAAGCAATTGTTGCTACAGTGATGACAACTGTCAAGAAAAAAATTTATTTACGTTTCGATGACTTTTCTTTATCGATATTGTCGATATCATTCTTACCGCTAATTTTAAAATATTAATATTGTTATTCGATGTTATGAATCATATTTATCATTAAATACTCTTATTAACAAGCAGTTCGGTATAGAATACACCAGATGGCATTGACAGGATTTTTATTTTATATATTTTTAAATAACAATCTTTTTTGTCTTTTAAGATGCTTTTATACTATACTATTAAAAATGAAATTTTTATAGATGCATTCTATTACAATTATTGAATGATGATTCAAAATTATTATTATTATTATAATTTATTTATTGGTCATTTAATGCCAAATGACAACAGATAAGACATAATGACAACTGCTTTCTAGATATATTTTGAATGATTAGAACACAGTTTATATTACATAGTTACAAATGGAATACAATGTCATTAGTGCAATAATCTTTATATATATATATATATATATATACAATCTATTATTTTAAATAATATAATCTTTATATTTGTATACATAATAATCGATCAAATACTTTAATAAAATGATAGCAAAGTTATATACTGTTGCACACCACATCAAATACAACACAGAGTAAGATACCGATATATTAAACTAAAATAAACACCGATTAATTATTATCCGTTTTAACAATTTCTCTGCTATTAACATCAGAAAATTCAATATAATAAATTATTACTGTTTTAAATGAATATAGAATTGTTATCTATAGAGAAGAAGCATAAGTAAAGCATTCTTTAATTAATCAAACTATAATTCTTTTATAATGCTATCTTAAAATATGAATAGAACACATCCACGTTTAATGTTTGTTCATTTTTTATCTTTTTTTTTTTTACTTTAACAAATACCAATGTTGTTAACATTCAATACCATTAACTGGCACGATAATATTGCACTTATTGAAAAGCAGAATGTTCTGTTTAGTATTAAACTAGATCATCCATTGACTTCATTGTCCACATAACACTGTGCATGTACAGTAGAATTTTGTAACAATATGTTATATATCTTTTATGTATATGTATATCTATATGTATATAGCTAATATTTACCAGATTGTAGTATTTAACAATATGACGTTGTTACCCGTTGGAAAAATTTAGCTATATTAAAATGGAATTGTATTAGACTCGTGTATAATATATTTTATATTATTTCTTTCTATTAACAATACACAAGTCTTTGCTGAAACGATAGTAGTTTTCAATTTTATATTTTTTTTCTTCTTTCTTTTGTACAGAAAAACATGTTTCTTTAGAGCCAATTAAAGATAGAGGAAGTCACGATTTATATGACCAAACGTATCATACATGCAGTTTTATGCAAAAAAAAAGAAAAATATTGTCATATACTATTTTCTAACCTACACAATACATTTCAAGTGTTTACTGGTTGCTGCTTAAAAGGGAATGTATCAGTGAATTTCTGATGCAATTAATTTCCTTAATCGGTAAATTTGCGGTTAGGATTACTACCGAACAAAGCAGACCGAATTTCAGGTATCAGTTGTTGAGCAATTAGCTCTAACCGTGACTCCAAAGTGTTGTTGATCTTAATGCGACCTAAATTTTAAAATGATTTATTTAATATAATATTACTGATACTTTCTACAAATAATATTGATATAATCTCTTTCTTTTTAGTCAGATAGATAAGAAGTATATATTCTATATTATTTGAAATAAAAGTTATTTATAAAGAACAATTCGATATATTAATAACCTGTGAATAAACAGAATTAATGATTAATATTGTTACCTTTAGCCGTTAATAATTCAACGCCGCCACAACTTTCGGCAGGTAAGAAAGTTTCTTGATCTATTTTAAGAGAAGCATCTTTCTTTGTATTTACTTTATATTCTTGCTGTATAGAATCTATAAGAGAATCTACAATAGGAAGATCAACTTGACGAACACGGATAAAAACGTTAGTTTCCATAAGCTGTAAAAAATGATAAATAATATATTAATATTTCTAAAATTTATATTTTACATAGCGAAATGATTCAAGTCAAATAATATATACATTTTTAATTGTAAAAAAAGATAGCCTATCGATAATACCTGATAAAGACCTTGAGTGATTAATAATCTCAAAATTTGACCATATTTGCTTGGATTTTGAGTTACTTCACCTAATCTTTTTCTTGCTTCGTCGAGAACATTACGTACATGATCATCGCGAACTTTTAAAACTCTTAATCGAGCTTGGTTAAGCATATTTGAAGACTGACTGTAAGAATTTGTTTAATTTTACTATTAGAGAATATATTATAATACGTTAAGAATATTATCATTTAGATCTGGGCTTCTCAAAGTATTGATTGTCATTCTATATAGGGTCGTATAATTAAATTTTAGGAAAATTAAAAATTTAGTATGAACACTTGGCTTTATCGTTGATATATGATCAAATTTATATTTCTCTATACTCAGAGTCGAGAAAATGTTTGCTCGGATAAATCGCCAAGTGGAAAAGTTTGAGAAGCCTTGATTCAAATAGATTAAATACTTCTACCGCATGTTCTAATATTCCTAACATCAAGCGGAACAAGCATTTACAAAGTAATTATATGGAAGACGATAAAAACAAATTTGTACACACATTTTTTTCTGTAATTCGACTTGTTTCTCTTTCTTTTCAAAATATTCCATAATTTTAAGCCGTTGTTGTTGGACAAGACGTCCTTTTTCGATATTAAATTCTTCTTCGGCTTTGGCATCTATTTCTTCAGCCTTTTCATTGGCTTCCTGTTCTATGAAAGCCATCATATGGTTGATCTGCAATAATAAATTAATATTTTTTATATTCAACTTTTTTTTTAAAAACACTCAAATATTCTGCAAGAATTAAATTACTGAAATTATGTGACATTTCATGTGTTAAGTGTGTTGCATACAAAATTAGATAAAAATTAAATTTAAAAATACTGTGAATAGTTGAATATTCGATTTTCTTTTTCATCGTCCTCTTAAATACATTATCAATGCATTTTCCTAATTTTAAATTACATTAATATACATATAAACGCGTAAGGTAGTTTCAAATTTAAAAAAGATCGTAACGTATATTTAGGTACGTGAAAATTCAAAAATAACTTTATACGAGACAGACGTAGTCTGTCTTCCAATATTCCTTGCATATATGTTTTAAAATAATATCATTTTATCGAAAGAATTTGTTTAATTCTACGAACCTGTTTTTGTACATCAGCATCGCTTAGCGCCATGATCAGACTTTTTTGTTAATTTATTTAACGATAAATTACAATTGACAGGAACAGTTCTTATTTAAGAGACGAATTTAATTCAGGAGCTCGATGAGAGTCAACGCCTATTCACAAAATCGTGATGCCGTTCTCGCGTAACGACGGTCATATGACTGTAATTTGTTCTGAAATTTACCACAACAGCGCCGCAATAAGGGAAACTGACAGTGGCACCAGGCAAAAAACGTGAGAATAGACAGTAACCCTTTTACCGATCAAAATTAAGGTGTGTGTGTGTATATATAATATAATTCAAATAAAGGGTTTACTATTGCCAGATTGTTTTAACATCTTGACCGATATTATTGAATGCTTATAATTGTAAAAATTGAATGAACGTCATGTATAATTAAAAAATACTTTAAAGTAAAAAATACACTATTTACCAATTAAAGATTTTAATGGTAAATGTAATTTTATTACATAAAGCTTTGCTATTTTGTCTGCAAAATAAAATTAAAATCTTTTATTATTCTTAATTTATTGTATTTTTTATTTTCTATGTTTGATCATTATGTATATCTTTTTTTTTATAGGAACATTTGTTTGTAGGAATAAAAACAGTCATTTTTATTAAATTTTATCAATTGAAATTAATTTTTAAAAATGATTCTCTAAAAATTGCTACTATTATAATTAACAATAAATGAAAACGAGATTAAATAGTCATATAAATAAAAGTTCCTGCTTTCCATTCATGCATCATAAACAAAGTCATACTGTATGAGTTAATTACAAAGCGAATGTACATTTTACCATGAAGCAAATAAAAAATAAGATATTAAAATGCAATATAATCAGCTAAAATACACCCCCCTTAATTTTTACAAAATTTTTAAGACTATAGTTATCGGTAGTACACAATGAGCATCAGATGTCTGTTGTCTATAGTTCACTGAATTTTCACTACTACTTAACAGTACTTAACAAATACTTTTTCGATTTCTAGTCTTCTATCAGTTCGATCATTAATAGTATTGAAAGAGTTGATAATGACATAACAATTATATTAATTTTTGGTGATGCGAAGATCGATACATGCTTCTTGTTCAAGATCTAAACTTTCTGGCGTGTCGCTGTTATTTATGGGATCCCCATCGAAATATAATTTAATATTAGATTTTTCAACGCCCCATTCACGAGCGCAACTGGCAATTAATATTTGAAATTGTTGATTTTTCTTAAGCGGAATCACCATAGATTTCTTATTTGCAGTTTGTACTTTGATTTGACATATATCTTCTTCTATGATTTTTTGTTGATTTTGATGATCATTTTGAGAGATTATACTTGCATCTACAATTCCTCCTTCTAGAAAAAACAATAATTAAAATAAAAAAGAAGAGATAATAATATAATTTTATTTAATCAATTTTATTTATACGAACCAAGAATATCTATGATCGAAAGACCCAAAGATGAAGGAGTATCTGCTAGGTTTATATGTTTGTCCTTCTTCATGATTAAGATTTGCTCTATGGAAACATTCTCCATATCTGCAAAGTACTGAAAAACTTTCCTGAAATTCTCGTGCTATAAAAAAGATTATATAATTAGTAAATAGATTTTTATTTGCCCTGTAATGCATAAAACCAATCTTACGTTGTTTATATTTAAACGGTGAATGGCTTTGGATCTCCATAAAATCTTAACATTTACATCAAAATCTTCACGTTTTTCTAAGTCTTCTACATCTTCTTTTAAGTCTATTACATCTTTTTTTAAGTTTATTACATCTTTTTTTAAATCTTCTACATCTATTATTAAATTTTCTTCCTCTTCGCTACTACAATTTAAAATTATTACATTATCCACCTTTGTTCGGTTTTTTACATAAGATCTTGTGTGAATAACATTTTCATCTGGCACGGATATAATTTTTAAATTGTTTTCTACGAATCCTAAATCTTCAGTTAAATCGCAAGTACTGAACTGTAAATAATAAATGTAAGTAATTTTTAATAAATGTTGTATAACGAAGATAACAACAACGATAATTATAATAATAAAAAAATAACAAATAATACAAACAATATGAATAAGATCAAAAAATATTTATGTTTATAATAATAAAGATAAAAAATGTAAGATATTACAGAATCTTCTGTATTTTTTGATCTTCCTCTGCTTTTCCCTCTTCCTCTACCTCTTCCTCTACCTCTTCCTCTTCCTCTTCCTCTTCCTCTTCCTCTTCCACTACTTTGATTTTTATTTGTTTGTAATTCTCTATGATTTGTCACGACTTTGTTTTGTAACGCTACAATTATTTAACATTTTTTACATTACTAAGAATTTTGTAAATTTTACATACATTAGAAATTTATAAATAATTAATAACATATACTTAAATATACCTTTTAAACGTGCTACAGAATTAACGTAATCATCATCATCCTCAGAAGAACTCTCCAATTCTATGCTGCTCATTATTTTGATCTGTTTTAATATTTACACTATCATTATATAAATTTAATTACTGTAAACGGAACATAAAATGTGAGTATCTAATATTGTGCTTGATTTGTGTTTTTCGCATTAATCTTTATTTTTTTTTATACTTATAACATATGTTTTATCTTATTCTTTTTCCTTTCTTATTAAATGATTAATGCTCAATATTCAACTAAATAAAACTACAATATAATTACAATAAAATATCTATACTTCAAAAATTGAAAAAATGCATTATTGACACACAACGACTGACTACTGCAACAAAGTTTGAGTACACGTTTATGGTAATCGTTTTTACATCTTTCAAATCTTTAACCTCATTTTCATTGTAAATTGACCAATTGTAAGAAACATTTTTTGAAACTGACGAATGGCGATTTGCGATTATTCCCTAGAAGTTTTGATTGAAACTACTAGTTTTCATTATTTTTATTTAACTTATTTGATATTTTAGACATTTTAATATTTAAAAATTATAATTTTTCTATAATATTACAAACTTTTTATTAATTGTTAAATAAAATCATTAAAAAAACACGTCAATGTGAAATAATTAAAAATACATTGACCAATAATATTCGATAATAGTGTAATAGTGATTTTCATTAGTATAATTCCCTAGTTTCTCTTCCTTTGTTAGAAACGTAACTTTATAATGTTAGCTTTTTTTTCAATCCTCTTAGAATCAATGTTCTAACCGATAAATGTTCGATTTTCTTCTGTAAAACAGAAAACTAATTACTTTTCTAAAAGATTAAAAGGAACCTATTTGAAGAAATAATTCAATATGATGAAGGTATGGATTTTGCTATTATCACGATACATATATCATAATTAGACTACAAAAAAGGAAAAACTTAATAACGCCTTTACGATTACATTAAAATTTGATAATTTACCGTTATAGAAGTTTTATGTAATTTAGGATGAAATTGAGATACTTTAATTATTGATCCGCATCACACGATTTATGCAAAATTTAGCTTTAATTAAGTAATTTTTTTAATTTACTTTTAATTTTACGTATATCTTAATTATAATTAAGACTATGATTAATTTATTTAGATGTCAAGATATCCTTCGGACTGCAAAGTCTATGTTGGAGATTTAGGAAGCAGAGTAACTAAACAAGAATTACAGGATGCTTTCTCATTTTATGGACCGTTGAGAAGTGTCTGGGTTGCCAGAAATCCTCCAGGATTTGCTTTTGTTGAGTTTGATGATGCTAGAGACGCAGAAGATGCTATTAGAGGCCTGGATGGTCGTACCATATGCGGAAGACGTATTCGAGTGGAGCTATCGAATTGCAAAAGGTTGAGAGATAGAGGTTCATCACGACGAAGTGTAGCAAGACCATTCCATCCTGAAGACAAATGTTATGAATGTGGTGAAAGGGGTCATTACGCAAGAGATTGTCCTCAACACAGAAGTTCTCGTAGAAAACGGTAATATTACTAATTTAATGCAGTTACAATTACAGCTCTATGTCATGGGTATTGATATATGTAGGTATACAGATTGCATTTATTTTATTTAAATAAAATGCTATACTTTAACTCTACTAGATATTATATTAAAAATTATGAATAGGTCTTTAAAATCTTTCAATATTAATGGTTTCTTGTAATTTGTTTTGCATTATAAACACTTATTGATGCTTAAAAAATTTATTCTTTACATATTGTAAACATATATTTCATTTAAAGTACTTTTATTTTGCAAACATATTATCGTAACATTGAATTATATATTTCTCTGCATACCTATATATTATCATTGTAATCATATAAAATATATTAATTTAATTGTAATATATTTATAAGATGCACAATATATATTCATTATTCATATTATATCTATAAAGTTAATAGAAATACATATTTTTTTTTTTAAATATATAATTATTTTCTAAATTCACGAAATTTAATCTCAGGGAAAGACATTTAGTAATTGAACCTAGTAAACGTCTATCTCAATAAGAATGTCTCGTAGATTTGCTAAAAAAAAGAAATTATGGATCAGAAGAAGAATATCATAAATATTCTCTCTCTCTCTCTCTCTTTCTCTCTCTCTCTTTCTCTCTCTTTCTCTCTCTCTCATGCTACATTTCTAATACAGTTACATTATGGAATTAATAAGTAGTAAGAAATCGACAAAGATAAAACCATTACTTCATATCAAAATGATGAACACTACTTAAAAACAATGGTTGAGATAGCGAAGAACTTTGTCGATGTAACAATGCCCAATTATTTATAGGAGATGCGGCTGAACAGGCATACACATGAGAAATGTGTTGCTACTGTGATTCTCGCGAGATTCGCCTTGGGTTCACTTTGTGACACACTGCGTAGTTACAGCGTAGAGCACTCACCTACTTTGGGTTTCCTTCTGCACTCTACGAGCGAGAGAGGCAAACACGGCCGACGGAGTGGCTAGTTCTGCGCACTACGATACTTCCACTGACCACTGACATCACCCTAGACAGAGAGTTAATGCACATCGGCACTTCTGGTAGCCTGGCCTTCTTCGTTCGACTTACTGTTTGTGCCTAGTCGTCGTCATAGTACCTAGTGGTCACTGAGAGACAACGTTTTAGCCGTCTCGTCTAGCCACTCTTCGTCCGTTCATCTGACCCTCGCGTGATTTCATCTGCATACGTGCTCATCCGCTCTCCCTTCCTGGCATTGCCATCGCGTGCTCTACGACTGTGTCTGCTATATGCAGACAGGAAAGATGGTACATAATAGAATAGTAAACATATTTTGATCGATCGTTAATACAATTCATTTCGCCAATTTAATAAAAGGACATCGATAACAATTGTTAGCTCAATTTTATGGTATTAATAAGATATTAGCTCGATTTGAATAAATAACATTATAAAAACGTGGCATCTCTACTATGGTATGGGTAGGATTTGTTTTAATCCGGCAGTAGTAAAATTACAATTTTCTCGACATTGTTTTATACTTATACTTGTATATAGTTGTACATAAACCATATGAAAGGAGGTAATCACAGGTGTTGGTAATAACGAAATTAATGAACAGTTACAAGGTGGTCAGCTAAGGCTATGCTATTATAAATTATTGACTGATATATTAAAGATCGTTTACACGTGGATAAACGTGATCTAAATAACTAATCTCGTATCTTCAATGGACGAGATAAATTTTTGGGTTGATATTAATATTTAGGTACAACTTTGTTTCAGGAGATATTTATAAAGTATAACTACGAAATAAAAAAGGATATCTTTAAAGTCCAGGCAAAAAGACTGATATTATCATTATTTTAATTCGATATTATTTATAGGTCTTACTCAAGGTCTCGATCACGGTCACGTTCCCAATCCCGATCACGCTCACGTTCACGCTCACGTTCAAGATCTCGAAGCAAACGTTCAAGGACACGTTCGTCTTCCCGCAGTCGTCGATCCCGAAGCAAGAGTGGCCACGCCAAAGACAAATTTCGCAATAAGAGGAAGTCGAATTCTAAGGATCGTAGCCCACGACGAACTAAGTCTAGAACAGCATCTAGATCACGGAGTAGATAGATATGGTAAGTACATTTCATTTTGTACCTTTAATAATTTTTTTAAATGCATTCGAATTTATCATTCTTCCATCTATCCCATCTCTGATAATATAATATTAATGGAAAGAGCGGATGGATCCGAATGTATTATATAATACAATAAATTTTCTAGCATCTCTCGTTTTCTTTATTAATTTGATTATCTACAAATTTTAGTAGTTTAATAACCAGATAAATATTTTAGAATTTCTATTACGTGAGAATATAATGTTGTACTATTTATTCATTCATTGTTACATGTTATCTTACAGTGGACGCGGGTTAAAGAAGTTGAAGACCTACTTCCTTGAAATAACCGCGATCTAAGTTACACTTAGATTATGTAAAAAAATAATTGATACATATACTTTACTCTTTTACTATATATTAAGTATGTATTTTCTTGTTCTTTAAACAATTATAAGATCGTATAGGAAACGTAATTTTTTACTAAACCAAAATGAAATATAAAGTTACTTTCAAGGCATGTGTACTATTAATTATTGCATACTTATCGGTAACGGTCAGAAAAAAAAAATAAATTTTCATACACACACAAAGATTAAAAGAAAATTATTATTCTTAATATTATCCGACGATATTAAAAGAAAGTTATTATTTCTAATATTCACAATGAAACGCTTTAATCTCATGGAAATGTATTTATAATTTACGTGTATTAATACAGATTTTTAATAATAATTGTAAATTTATTTCGCGTTTGTTTTCTTTTAAATATCGTTCACGTTATAACAAATATTTTACGAGAGAAAAATAAAACAAAGGAACAAACAAAATATATAGCTCGAAAAAAAGTTACACATGCATGTCATCTTGCAAGGGTTCACTTAAAACTTTTTTTTTCCCAAGCAGTTGGATTAATTTCATGCATGTTGTGCAGTTAGTTGCATGCTATAATAAAAATTTATCCGGACCAAAACTTAAATTTTACATTGGAATCATTTGTAAAATAAGAACAAAAGTGAAAGTTAGTCTAATAAATAGTTTCAATTTCATGGATACAAATTATATATTTACTTCTTCCTTTTTTTTCTTCTTTATATTTAATAAATATTATTTATATTAGAAAAAGAAAGAATGATTATATTTTTGTTAAAGATAAGTGATCAACAAGATAGAGAGCGTGCATTCTGTTCTTGCACTTGACTTCTACAGTATGCCCTTGATACAACTTGCATTGTCAGGAGAAAAAAGAAGTCGAAAGGAACAAGAAAAGAGAAACCAGTTACAAAAAAAAAAAAAAAAAAAAAGAGAAGATAGGCGAACATATGGTTCCGATACGTTCCGGAGTTTCTTTCATGGGCTTCTTCGTTCATTGCCGACGATATACATACATATACGAGTCGAACATAAAAAATAGAAAAGGAAAATAACGACACAACGAAGTATCCCTTTAAGTCTTTCTTATGTTTATATTCCTACGAAGAAACCGGTTTTATTTCATGTCTGTGCAGGACGAACTTCCCTCAAAGTGAAAAAAAAGAAATAACCGGCGGTTCATTTACTATCTTTCTCCTTGCTCTCTTCTGTGCATGAGCGTTTTCCTAAGGTGGTACGCATGCGTGCACGACGAGAACGTTTCTTACGTTCCTCGAATCTGGCGCCTAATATCTCCCATAAGATTTCTTCGGGAAATAATAACAGCTGAGGAGAACAACGAAGACTTGCAATTGGGAATAAACATTTCTACTTCGTGTATATTTTACGTTTACACAATATATTTGAAATTATTTATGTATATATATATATATATATATATATAGGTCTGAAGTTTTTATTAATAATGGGGCGGGTTGAAATGTTATGAGCTTTTACAGTAAAAGAAAAAAAACAAAAGTTCTTTAAAAAATGAAAGTTAGTTGGAGCGAAAAAAAAAACAAAATGGTTTCTATATTAAACTCACAAATTGTTTAACCGTTTCACGGTTAAATATATATNTATATATATATATATATATATATATATATACAAATAAATTTTTCTATAAAATTTTATGATCTCATAGTATAATAATAATATAATGGTTCAAATATGAGAAAACTGTCTAGCATAGATTATTATCATTCGTCACTCTAACCGGAATGAAGAAATTGCTATGGTGGTAGGAGAAGTAAAAAGCGGAGGAAAAGAAAGAAAGAAAGAAAGAATGATGCTCGAGGGCGATCTAAGAGAGAGAGAGAGAAAGAGAGAGACAAATAGAGAAGGGAGAAAGGGAAAAAAGGAGAGGAGAAAGAAGGGGGTGGGAGAGGAGAAGAAGAAGAAGAAGGAATATCTACGTTTGTAGCCGTCGCTGCTGAAGGAGAAAGATCCTCATTCGGTTTTCAGTCACGTTCACGCGATGCTACTCTCTTCTCGTATTTCCTCTCATTTATTATTTGTTTTTTTTTTGCATGCGTGTTGAATCTCTCATTGATTATATTTATATTAGCAAATCGAATATATCGCACCTATACTAGTAGCTAAGAGTGTCCTTTTTTGACGGACGTTAAAGAAAGGAGCGAAAAATAAAATCGTGTTGCCTTACTTATATTTTACCGAGAGTTTAAGAAGGGGAAAAAGAAATCTAAAAGGAAGGGAGGAGGAAAGGGAAGGGAAGGGGAAGAGGAAGGAAGAAAGAAAAGAAAACAAAAAAGAAAGAATAGAAATTGAGCGCGTGATACACATTAAAAGGTGTTAGCGCCACAATTGGTAAGAATTCTCATCGGTGGCGATAATTAAATAGTATCGGTGAGCGTATATATTACATGCGCGCGCGCGCGCGCGTGCGCGCATTTTGGTGAGGGAGTTGCGCGTGTGCGCAACGATGACCGCGACTTATGCGAACGGAACGGCTTCGTCGGCGGCACCGAGTGTAAACGGTTCCGAGGAACGTAAAACTACTACGTGGATGTTCCAAGAAACGCGCGGAGATAAAAGTTCGGTAACTGCCGCGAGGGTGAGCCACGAAGAAGGGGTAGTTGGTGCTGAAGAGGAGGTAGAGGAGAAGGGTGCTACTGCTGCACAGCTGGAGGAATTCTTGAGGACAATGAAGAACGAGATCGAACGAGATAATAACTCGATAACAACGATCGATTCTCATTATCCTTCTTGTAATAATCGGATACAATCCGATGTATCGTCCGAATTAATTGTCGAGACCGAGGAGAAAGATAAAGATGAGGATATTAAAGATAACGAAGAATCTTCGTTTAATTGTTTGGAGAACGTTGAACAGATTATTTCTATTTCGGCCGTGGATCATCTAGCCGAACGAAAATGTTTGAACGAAAGGGATCTATCTTCGCAAAGCAAAGATCTTTCTTCTTCTAATCGGATTAATTTGCACCATAAATCAATCGGAATTGATGATGGATCATCGTCATCGTCATCGTCATCATCCCTAGAAAATTTACGAAGATCCATCGAGAAGGATTTGACGATCGTCGAAGATATTGAAAGTTTCAAATCCAAAGGGATCGTACGTACCTATGGTACCTTAGAAATTACCGATAATACTACTATCGTAGAGGAAAAGAAAAAAGATGATGAAGAAGAAGTACAAAAAGAAATACTTCATATTAATGATCAATCTTATGATCCAGAAACTGAACTAGATTTTTACGAGGTCGTACGAGCAGGAGATGCGAAGTGTGTCGCGACACTTCTTGCAACTGGTCGAGTCCAGAATCTTGACGAACCGGATTGGAACGTCTCCGGTGATCCTCCCTTGCTGGTTGCTGCAACAAATCATTGTCTATCTGTACTTAAGTAAGTATCTTTTTTTTGCTGTTGTACTGTTTATATTAACCGTACGCATTCCATGGAGGGCAAAGGTCAATCTTAATTCTTGACTATTACGTAAGATTCATGAGAAAGATCTTCTGACGTTTACATCTTTGCCGCCAGCATATTTGAATGACAAAAGTTTAAATTATTATGATATTTTTTTTAATTTCTTAATTTTTCTTTTGACCAGCATATTATTAGCCAACGGATGCGATCCAGGCGTCCGTTCTCCTCGCGGAGAAACTGCATTACACAGAGTCATACTCAACGGAGGACCAGGGAACGTATTAAATTTCGTGGGAGAGCTTTTAAAACATGGTTGCCCTGCGGGAGTTAAAGAAGCCGGGGGTGGATTAACGGCATTGCATGTTTTAACGAGACAACTGGCCCATGCCCAAAGTTCCAAGAGCCTCCATCATGATTATGAAGCTGCGCTTAAGACGCTCGATTTATTGGCAAAAGCGGGACCAATTAATGCAAAAGATCATCAAGGTCGGAGCGCGTTACATATTTTGGCGTCCTCTACAGTATTCGGTAGAGAAAACTATTTATAATGTTTAAATTGAATATTTCAACTTATCACATTCATACTTTTCATTTAAATAAAGCTCTTCTTTTTTATAGATAATAATCACAGAACAGAGATAGAAGCGTTGATAGAAACTTTATTAGCGGCAGGAGCGAATCCTGCTTTGAAAAATGATCGTGGAGAAAGCCCGTTGCACGAGTGTCTCGAGTGTGGTGCATTGAACACTGCACTTTTGTTGATACCACACACGCCACCCGGTATAATGTCACGTTACGGCGAAACACCGTTGCATATCGCCTCGAGAAAGAACTATGTTGATATGGTAGCTAAACTGTTAGAACACGAGGAGGATCCTAGCGTGCAAGACGCTGGCGGCAATACACCCTTACATCTTGCTTCTGCTAGAGGCTTTCATCAGACAGTTTCTCTCTTAGTCACATCGCCTCTCGCACAATTGGAAAAGAAAAATCTAGATGGTCTAACGGCACTTCAAGTTGCCGCCGAAAGTGGTTTCGTCAACGCTGTCAAACTTCTTCTTAAGGCTGGAGCTGACCCAACCCAAACAATACACTATTGCTCAACAACTCTGCATCGTCATCCAGATATTTCAATTTTAATAGATCACGAATTAACGAGACGTCGTCAACTTGCTGCTTGATTATACCTACGA